AAAATTATCTTTTTGATCATGTTCATTATTTTCAAATTGTCATATACGTCAACAACCTGCATGTTAACCTGGCCCGTACATGCGTTACACTATATCTCCATGTCTTCTAAATTTAGAAATCATCTGGATAGCCTTTAACATTTATCAATAAACCCATCATAGTCGTTGTTGCTAATCGTATTTGGGTTTATGAATTGGTTTATCACATTAGCAGCCTAAAATGCAAACATAGTTTAGATAATAAGATTAAAAATTCAGGTACCATCAAGTGCACTAGTAAAATAACTAAATCCTCAAGTAGCTGTTGGCTAAACAAACGTTTAAAATCAAAACTCCGTAGCCTACTAGAATTAACACTAAACGAATATTTCTGAATGGAAATTTATAATTAAATTAAGCGTCTCGGATTCTTTAACGTTATAAATTTCTGATAACTTCGAATCACCTAAAGCAACAATACCTATTTTTCCACTGACTAATCCTTAATCAACACTATAACTAGTTAAACGTAATAGTTTCAGGATATCGTCATAAAGCATTGTCATGACTTGACAATCACGTAATATGATTGATAAAATTAATGAAACTATTAACAAAATCGGTCAGCAAATTGACTTATAATTATCACTAGTGTTGTTTTTCTTTATCTTCATTCACTACAGATGATTACAGTATGTTTCTCTATCAGTTGCTCATTCAGTAAATATCTCAAAACCTTGTCAGTCTAATTGATGGTTTAGCGACACAATCATGCATGCAAATAATCAGTATAAGCAGTCGAGCAAATCTCCTGCAAACTGAAAACATCAATGTCGAATTTACCCCAACACTGACTAAGGTTCAAGCCATTATCATAGACATGAGTTGGGAGTGTACTCCCCTGGTTACAACTTATGTTCTCCCTGATAATCACATGAGCATCACTCACTATTAATCATCTTGTAAAAACTTATTTAGCTAAATACATCTTGCAGCACCACATCACTTCGTAATATGACATAGGCTTAACTGATTTTAATAACTTATAACCACTATATCTCAATTAAATCGTATTCCGCCTTATGATAAACTGCATACTTGCAACTAACTTGTATGCCCAATCAGCCGGCAAGTATAAATATAAATAAATAGTCTGCCACAGATCAGAACATTGAGTCTAGAGCATGTCTCTTACGAATACACTCATGTTTAACGATTTGTTCCTAGCTATCTGTCCAAAATTCATATAATTATCACTCATGTATTTAAATTTTGTTTTGATAACCATTCATGTGTATTAGTAGTATTACTAAATTCTATCACGGTCAAGTAAAAATGAGGTTGAGAAAATCTCCCCGTAACTAAATAAACCGTATCAAACTAACTGGAACACTAGTTGGAATTCTTCTCCACGGTATACTTTTGTTCCTTCAGTTAGCCTACTAATACAGATGCAATTGGAATTCAACTCATATGGACAACTTACCGGCATAATCGTTATTTGATTTCATAATTTAAACCAAAACTAATACCAATATTAACATTTCTACAATATTCATTACTTTAATATTTCTAAACACAAAATACTTACTACCTATACGTTAAGCTATTAACACGCATCGTTTTATTATTATTATTATTATTATTATTATTATTGTAATCCCATTTTTTATAGCTCAAATAATCTTCACACAAATTTTCATTTCAAGCGTTTTAAGCATGAAGGCAGATATTTTAAAATTATTACATGTATTTCCCGACCAGATGCTGTCGCTTTGTTTTTGATTTTTCTTTCAGCTTACCAATACCCGGAGGATTCTTATTATCCTTGGTAACCTTCGGTGCGCCACGATCCCATCCAATTTGGTATCGAACCAACATCACGTTGATTCTGGTGGGAGAGTAGTGTAGTGGTATTGGACAATAACCACACAATCTTCAAAGCTGTGAACACAAGACTGCTCAGAAAATAGATATTCAATATTTAACGCGGAGAAATACCTAACAATGGAAAAGGCACGAACAATGAATTGAATGAATTAGAGTTGATCGAACGGTATGGCTTGGCCATGCAGGCGTGGTCCCTGATGAATGTTATCTTATATCTTCTATTCATATTAAATATATTGTTCTTTCTCTAGCATGACCTTGTTCTACATCATGTCTTGGTAATTGATACGATACAGTGAGTTGGCGTAGTCGATGGTGTGACTTCCACGTAAGATCTTATAGATAAGGCAGTTATATCATGACAAATCTACAAATTTAGAATTAGGTCTATTATTAGAGCAGCACTGATATCATAGTAGAACATAATTCTACAAGGCTGGTGCAAAGTTTTGCGTACCAAATATACTCGTATGAAAACACGTGAACAGGTAGATAGCTCTCGAGGGAGAGCTACCCGTCGATGTTGTATTCGATTTGACACCGGAGGCAGTGTTCGCATAAATGCAGACAGTCGTTGAACGTAGTCTGATTTACCGAAATCGTTACTGCTCCGTGGGGTGAAAAATTCCCCTTGCGGACACGATGTCGTGCCGTATACAAGTTCAGCGGCAGAAAATTGGATATTTGCCTTCGGGCTTGTTCTGATACCTAAGAGGACGAGCGGTAAGGTTTCGTACCAATTGTCGTATTCGTGTGCTCGTAGAGCACTTTTAAGTTCAACTAAACTATTTGATGCTGGGTGGTAGGCGGTAGTGCGTATGCGCTCGTACCAAGCAGCCAGGTCAGTGAGGAGAACAATGCGGGCTCGAATAGTTGTCCTCGGTCAGTCATGACAGTCGAGGGACAACCATACAGCGCTATCCATCGTTCTACGAAGCGGTGAGCAACTGTCTCCGCCGTAATAGACGTGATGGGAATAGCTTCGGGCCATCTTGCTAAACGGTCGACGCATGTGAGTATGTGATCATACCCATGCGATGGTGGCAGTGGTCCCACAATGTCTATATGAACGTGATCAAAGCGAGTATAAGGCGTAGCGAACGTGCCGATGGGGGCAGCTACGTGCCTGTGCACTTTTGATCGTTGATACTACGAATATTGCTTTACCCACGTACGAAAATCTTTGTTCATGGACGGCCAGACGTATCGTGCAGAGATGAGATGTAATGTATCTGCGATACCTGGATGAGACGTTCCATGCAGGGCAACGAAGGTGAGACGACAGTAAGCGGAGGGTACGATGGGTCGGGGAGGACCGGTAGAAGTATCACATAAAATAGTACCTGAGCTAGTAGCTAGGGGTACTTCCTGGCACTGAAGGGATGTAGATTGTGGTGTTTCTGTACAAAAGGGATCGTTTGCTTGAGCGGCAGCCATAGCAGGAAGATCGAGCACCGGTGAAGTAACTGCATTCACTCGGATACGCGACAGAGCATCAGTAACGTAGTTCGACTCACCGTTAATGTGACGAAGGTCTGTCGCGAACTGAGAGATGTAGTTCAAATGTCCGCATTCTCGAGGTCGGTATGCAGAGCATACGTTAAAGGCTTGTGGTCGAAGGATAAAATAAAATGGCGGCCTTCTACTGCGTGCCGGAAATGTTTGATGGCACAGTGGGCTGCTAGCAGCTCTCGAACAAAAGCGCTATATCTCGTCTCCGTGGGAGTCAGGCGTCGTGGGAAAAATTCAAGAGGTTGCCAACTTCCGAAGATGTTCTGCTGCATAACGGCTCCTATGTCAAAATCTGATGCATCAACCGCCATACTAAGCGTAGCTGATGGGTCAGGATGAGCGAGGAGTGTGACTTGATCCAGGGCCGTTTTGATCTCTAAAAAGGCAGTACGTGCGGTATCGTTCAATTCTAATTTACGTGGATTACCTCGAAGTAAGTCGGTTAATGGTCGTAACCGTTCTGCCGCATGTGGGATGAGACATCGGTAGAAGTTAAACAAACCGAGAAACGCCTTCAGTTCCTTGAGTGGGGACGACACGTTGTACGCCCTTATTGCACGTACTTTGTCCTCGCAAGGTAAAATACCCTCTTGCTTAATGATGTGACCTAAGGACATTATTTCTGATTTGCCCAATTCCCACTTGTCCGGGTTGACTACTATTCCATTATCCGAAAGAAGTTGGAATAATAGTGTAAGATGTTGATAATGTTCATCTACGTATGTTGATACGATCAGCAGGTCATCAATATAGACGTGAACAAAATCCTAGTCTCCTACTATGCTATCGACAAACCTTTGGAAAGTGTGAGCAGCATTCCGTATTCCAAAAACATTCGCAGGAATTCAAACAGACCAAAAGGAGCCGTGATAGCGGTTTTCTCAATAACTTCAACAGCAACTGGGATCTGCAGATACCCTTGTAACAGACCGATCATAGAAAAGATATTCGTGGGATTGAGCGATGCCATGATGTCGTGTACGTGGGCATGGGGTAGCTATCAAAGCCTGTAGCTTGGTTAAATGATCGGTAGTAGCCGCATGGTCTCCAAATAACCCCATCATATTTAGAAACTATATGAAGAAGTGAGCCTCAAGGAATATGAGAAGGATAAATATTACAAGTAGCTAGTAAACTAGCAAACTGTGGTGTTTGAATGGATTAATGACACCTTTGTACTTGTGGATTGTTCGATTGCGAATTCTAAATACAGTACATTCGTTTGTGGTCATCTTGATCCGACTGCGTGATTTCTGGGACTCCTAGTTCATACGATAATTCAAATATTATACTGGCGTCGCGAGCAGGATCCTGTGATGGAACGGTTGGATATACATTCAGATTTTGATGCTTTTGAGGATTACTTTGTGTAAAATCCAAACTAAGGTTTGGATAGATGAATAGCCGTCCAGGTACGTTAGACACGCGTACTTGCCCGTCAAAATCAAAACAAGTAATCGGTTAAATAGCGGTTCTATAATTCATCATAAATTTAAATGTAAATCGTTACCTAAACAAATATTACCACCCGGCTATTCAACCAATAATTGTTCAATCAATAAAATCTAAATTACAATAAATAAAGGAGTTGATGAAAGATGAGGGAAAATTACCAGTCACAACAAATGAACGTTATTCTATCCTGACTGGATAGAACACACAAAAGGAGGAGCAAATCAATATGGCTACCGCCAAGAACAAGCGTCAAGTAAAACAACACAGATGCAGTTCGGGAAGAAACACAAACTTAGTGAATGCGTAGGAAAAACAAAAACTATAATAAAAAATACAAGTATTAACAATTCAAATGTAATCAAAAGACAACAATGTACAACGAAGGGGATCAATAGGAACAAAGTGCAAGTATATACATGGAGGGATTTTCACAAACACACAAGACATTCAAAATGGATCTTGCACTTTGAAAGTTTCGAAATCTTGGCTATGACCAAGGAAGATGATGGGATGTTAATATTGTAGCACATTTCCTCACATTCATCGGAATAATAAGCATATAGCTTATTAAAAACCCTGGCCTTACCGGATTATCCCATTTCGCTTTCTTATACAACTCTCAAGGAGCTACTACTCGGCTATGTCAAGTATGCAAATTTTGAATGCGGTAAAGGAGGAAGATCTTGTAAAATGATTCATGAAGATATAAAACATTCCACTACATTCCTACGTCATCCCAATTCAGTGCATACTGAAGGTTATGCAGATAATTCATTAAGGAGTTGCGATGCAGTTCATGAAAATGGCCACAAGTTTGCTCAATATTTGTCCTGTGGCAAGTTCCACTCTTTTAATTCATGTAAATTTCGTAATTCTGAGTGCTTTAAATGTGATGATATTGGACATATTCAGTCAGTTTGTAATACTACTTTACATCTTGCTACAACTAATATTAAGTCTTGTAATTCTGATTCTATTAAGTCCAGTGTTCCTAATGATCATTTATCCTTATCAACGATTTCAAAAGACAGTGTAGAGTCATATAGCAGTTCAGAGTTAAATGAAACTCAGAATCCATGCGAGACAACAGTTTCTAATCAATCGACTTGTCAGATTTCTCATGTTATTGTTCCAGATATTGTTTTTCCTAATGATTCACTTATCTGTGACAAAATTCCATGCAAATCTGATGAAAATATGCTGAATGAACTTAGTGATGATCGAAAACCTGATGTAGTTTTGATAGATGCTGATTTTTCTAATGATCCTTTACTCCGCAATGACATTCTTAATAAATTTGAGGAAATTATTTCAGAAGAATCAAATCTTGATGTTCTATCAAATATTATTTGTCCTCGTAATGCATTTGTTTCTTGTGGAAAACTTGTTCAATGCGAAGTACGAGTACTAAATGATCTCGATTTTGACTGCACTTCGGATGATTTCATATCAACTGCTGTTCATCCTTATCACAAATTAACTTCCAATGTATACTCTAAACAATGTGAGAAATATGTTTTAAATGAAGCCACATCATCTATAAATTGGGGATATAAAGATCCAACATTATTTCATGAGGGAGGATAGTGTTGAAAAATCTATGGTTCGAATTCTAGATATTAATGATTTCAGTACAAAACCGACATGCTGATTGTATACAATTACAGGTGAGTCCGTTCCGATTTCAGTTGTTAATTCTAATACTAATGAGTGTATTCTAGATAATACAGAGTTCTGAACCAATACAATTTCGGACAGACTCAGGATGAACTTAAGGAGAAGATGTACAACCGATTACAGACACTTATGCTCCTATTTAAGCTGTGGCGGTTGTAGTGTTTGAATGAACTAATGATACCTTTGTACTTATGGATTGCTCGATTTCGAATTCGAAATACAATACATTCGTTCGTGCTTGTCTAGAACTTCTTGATTCGATTACGTTAATTCTGGGATTCCTAGTTCATACGATAATTCAAAGACTTTCAAATATTATACAAACTCACGTTTATCGAAGGCTAATTTGTCCGGTGCCAGTCGGCGTGGTCTTGCCGTGACTGGTGGTCCGCGGGTGACTATGTGGTGTGCCACACGGTTGGTCATCGATGGAATCTCCTCGAGTGGTTTAGTTAATGTGGGGAATTTCTCGAATAAAGCGTGGAATTTATAGTCACGCAAATAAGAAGTGCCTAGGATTCGGTGTGTGTTTGTGTGAGCTTTGCAGCCCACGACTTTGCTGTTCGACGAAGTATCGATTAGCTGCAACCTACGTGAATCGACTAGCGATTCGTAGTGCTGTAGGAAATCAATACCTAGTATGGCTGTGAGAACATCGACAATGATGAACGTCCACAGATACCGTCGTCGGTTGCCCAGGATGACCGTGAGTTGTCGTGTACCATAGGTAGGAATGACTGAGCCATTCGCAACGCGCAGTCGAAGCATTGTAGCTTGTGACTTGCTGTTACCAAGTGGTATGACAGAAACTTGGGCCCCAGAATCCACTAGGTACCTAGCGTTTGTGCGGTGATCCTGCACATAGAATAAACGGCCAACATGGGGGGAGGGGCCGGCGAGTACGGCCGCATTTACTCGCCGGCTTTGGAGTTTCCCGCCTTATACGAGAACGCTGCTCGACAATGGCGGGCGCCAGACCCGAAGGACCGGTGGAACCAGCTCCAACCTCCACTTGCTTCCGAAGCCGCCTTTCGGTGTGGCTTGGAAAATGCCCTGGTTGGGCGAGTGGTGACGCCTTTGCGGGAGCGTGAACGGGCTCGGGGGACGTAGGGTTGGGGTACGTCACATCGGTCTAGAAAACTAAGATGTGTGTAAATACACCCGTCCCTATCGCCTTGAACCGAGAAGTGAACGGCCTCCATGTTTGCACTTGAATGTGCGGTTGAGGCAACTATATAGCTGTCTCGGTTACTAGTCCTCGCTAAAATTTTGTCTGCTATGAGGGCTACCTGGTTAAGTGATGCGTCCTCAAGCAGGGCTGTCACTGCAGGTTGGATGTGTTCTGGTAATGACTCGAGCCACAATCCCTTGACAAATTCAGAGCATTAGGTACATTGGAATTGAGGACGACTTCACGGACAACAACTATATGGTCCTCGTGTTAGGGATGCAGAGGAATATACCAATCATTATCATGTTAAGTCTAATGATGTCCTTGGACTTTAAATGGACAGTCCCTATTGGCCATTATTTATTTTACTCGTTAAATATTGTACAGATGTTGTTTTCTATTTTTATGGTATGATGTGGTCTGTTTGGTTGGTATATAAACACAGTATGTTTGAAATATAACTATTCATATATCCAAGGCTGTGACTTGTGTTCTGGACCCAACTGGCTGGGATAGACAGCGAAGCAGGGCCAATCGGGACTCTAGGTTGTTCGTACGTATTTATGTGTCACCGAATAGATCGATAAATACGCTGCACATCTAGCCTGCAGTCCACCCGTTACAACAGCTCGGGTAATGATTCGAGGGCGTAGCCATACTTTTGCCTTTGGCTCGTGATGCGGCGGGTCTCGAATTTAGACTCTAATGTGGCAAAACAGCCCTCTGGGCCGTGGGCAAGAAATGAGTTAGGTCGAAAGTGGATGGCCTGTACGTCTGAGTCTATGACACTAATATTATTCTTGTCGCTATCCGTCACGTCGAGTATAATATATACTGAAAAATATCATTATGAAAATATACAAACGACGTGGATAGATAAACGACAGACTCACCGAATTGACTTCTTTGGAAGATTTACCCAGAGGTTGGGACGTGTTCCAAGAATCGGCTCACCAGTTGTAGCGTGAGGTCGATTCGCGATCGATTATGAACACCACTACAAGAAAGCGCGTACCAGAAAATCGGAAGGCGATGATGGAGCGTAACCAGATTTATTTTATTGGCGATCTTGTGGTATCGAACGAATAGCGAGATCGTGCCGAAAGGAATACAAGCGGAATCAGTGAGCGAGAGCGCAAGCGTACGAGGCCACAGTCCACAGGAAAGTATGGAGAGTAATGGAGTAGTAATATGGCTGGCTTTAGCACAGTTAAACAAACGAGCACAGTTAACAATCACTGGTACAATTGGTTATAATAATAATTGTTTCCATTAAACCAATCGCGTTCTCTTGGTAAAGGTAGGTCACTACAAGTTGATTGATTAGAAACTGTTGTCTCGCATGGATTCTGAGTTTCATTTAACTCTGAACTGCTATATGACTCTACACTGTCTTTTGAAATCGTTGATAAGGATAAATGATCATTAGGAACACTGGACTTAATAGAATCAGAATTACAAGACTTAATATTAGTTGTAGCAAGATGTAAAGTAGTATTACAAACTGACTGAATATGTCCAATATCATCACATTTAAAGCACTCAGAATTACGAAATTTACATGAATTAAAAGAGTGGAACTTGCCACAGGACAAATATTGAGCAAACTTGTGGCCATTTTCATGAACTGCATCGCAACTCCTTAATGAATTATCTGCATAACCTTCAGTATGCACTGAATTGGGATGACGTAGGAATGTAGTGGAATGTTTTATATCTTCATGAATCATTTTACAAGATCTTCCTCCTTTACCGCATTCAAAATTTGCATACTTGACATAGCCGAGTAGTAGCTCCTTGAGAGTTGTATAAGAAAGCGAAATGGGATAATCCGGTAAGGCCAGGGTTTTTAATAAGCTATATGCTTATTATTCCGATGAATGTGAGGAAATGTGCTACAATATTAACATCCCATCATCTTCCTTGGTCATAGCCAAGATTTCGAAGCTTTCAAAGTAATCCTCAAAAGCATCAAAATCTGAATGTATATCCAACCGTTCCATCACAGGATCCTGCTCGCGACGCCAGTATAATATTTGAATTATCGTATGAACTAGGAATCCCAGAAATCACGCAGTCGGATCAAGATGACCACAAACGAATGTACTGTATTTAGAATTCGCAATCGAACATTCCACAAGTACAGAGGTATCATTATTTTATTCAAATACCACATGGATTTAACCGCAAACAGACATGATATATGTAGAAACACATCGTTATCGATCAAATAAATTTTACTATTATGTTATTTAGTTTATTTATAAAGTAATTTGTGATACCTTCAGAAATATTACAGTAATATTAATTGATTTATTAATTATGGATTTTATTTATACAGTAGTAAATTCTGGTACAACATCCTAGTTTAATCAAGTTATTCGAAACGAATGTCCAACAAATAGGTGCTTATGATCGTACCACTCTTGTTCTTTTAAAATATTTTATTTCGATTTCTATGTATCATTCGATTTGTATTTATTTGAATAACTTATAAGTTCATTTGGTCGTTCACCAATTGTTATATTTTCATAATTCTGAAAATGATCATTCGTTTTAATATGATCTAATTTTAAGGTAAATCATGATTGCGTTCCAAATAACCTTGTAATAATCATACGATTGTAAGTTCACTAACATGTTTATAACAACAACATTTAAAGTAAAAATATATGGTACTAACAATCCCACATATATTAGTCTAACTTAGGGAAATATCCAATGAATACATTCTTCAAAGTAATTTATTTTTTTTACACAGAATGAATAGAAATATGAACCGTATTATCCCTAGAGTTAAATAGATTTGCACACTTCTATTTCCTTTAATGATATGCAAGGATTTATCTTTAAAATTATACATTTTGGTTTGACAAGTGAAGTCTAAATCCTCATCTTAGTCTTGGAAAGATGGGATAGTTGGAGATACTGACTGTCCATGGAAAGCACCACATTAAGACTATACTCCGATAAAATCGGTAATGAAAATTCACCGATTAGCCAGACAGAGCCTCTTCATTCGCTTTCTGATTCAGATTTCCAGTGTTGTTGGATTTCATACAAAAACTAGGTTGATTTAAGGAGGAAATTGTACTTGTATAAAACTTTAAGTAAATCCAACATTTTTCTCGGCAATCTAGGTTAAGGTTTTTCAAGGTAATATAATCAAATATCAAAGTTATAGAACATAAATACATGGTTCATCGTTAACTGTACACTAAAGAAGTCATCTAGTCATGTTCAAAATGTTTTTAATTGGATGTCGTAGTGCGTATGCATCATTTGGTGTGAAACGTGGAGAAGTTGTGATGAATGAATATCTGGTATGAGAAAATTAACTGATCATATATCTCCTCTGGTTATGGCTGTTCATAGATTCGGACAATTCGATAGATATTATGGATCAAACGTGTCACAGTATGCATAAAATGGGAATAAATAAACAAATAAAAGTAAGTTTGTGTTAAGCAAGCTGTTTGTTCATCGTATATTCAGACAAATTAACTGATTAGAATAGATGAAAGCACATCTTTGCTATCGGTACAATAATAGACGAATTAGAAGCAATAAAGTATGAAACGAAATACATAATTACTTATTAATTACCATGAGATAACTGGTTGTATCCCATCTCTACTGTTTATGTTGTTGAGTTTGTTTATGTGTAAAGCTTCAACTGTTAATCTCTTTGAATGAAGAAAACCTTTTTGAAGGATTCATATGCTGTTGGAGTTAAGTGTATGCGCAGACTCTTCTAATTTATATGGTACCACCGACCTGTTTTCGAGCGTGAGGTCTCCTGACGATTCAAGAATGTGCTTTAAGCAAAGTTTGTGCTCTTTCATCCTCACATTCGACTGTCGTGATGTCTCACCTATGTATAAAACATATTTGATCTCCTAGACACAATTCTGCTGTTATTCTTGCGGTATTGTGCCTTTCTTCCAAAGTTCCTTAGAGATATGGAATCACCGCCATGTGAACCCATTCTTTTGGTTTTTCTTTCCCCTTATCTTCTTGACTTTTGTCCTTAATCATTCTTTTTACGAAGTTACTACCGTATTCGTTCATCATTGAAATGAACATATATATATATATATATATATATATATATATATATATATATATGCACGCATCGAAACACAACAAAAGGAAGAACCATGTTCACAATAGCAGTGGAAAACTAAAATAATTCTGAAGTGAACAATAGAGAATGATGCAAGATTGAAGTGAAAGTGTATATATATAAGCTAGTGACTTAGCTTGGGCCTCACTTTTGTCATTAGTAATTTGTTATGATTTTCTTACAAACACTGGCCAGAAAACCTGCAAATCTTGATTTGAATCAGTAAAGTTATTGAAGACTTCATGAACTGATTATAATTTTAACCCGTGTTGTTGGATCTTTTCCAATCTACTTCCACACTGGCCTGTGTGACAGTATGTGATGAGGGTAACAATCTCGTGAAACAACCAATCATTTTATTTATTTATGCCTGAGACTATTGCTAACTCACTAATTCTGTCAACAAGTCAGCAGTTCTTTAGAGAAACCTATGAATTGCTTATTGCAGGCATCGTATCACACCATGACTTTAAACGAACAAGAGAGATAAGAGATTTAAAACCAAACTGATACATTTACAGATTTCTGGTCCCAAAAATTTAGCTTTTTATTATTTTTATCAACTGAACAGTTATTAGATATTGAACATTTACTTAGTAGTTGTAACTAAAGTAATCGTTATATTATTACAATACTGAGTTGTCATGCATCAGATACTTGCGTAACATCTAAATGTCACATCATATTAAGCTTATACTAATCCGTAATCACTGCTAAGTAGTTCACTCCTGTATGATAGAAATGTACGTCGAGATATACTTAGCCCTTTCCGACAAACAGGAACAAGTTGATTTACAAAATGCCGAGGTATATCCATCAGATAACAATTATAAATGCTATCTACGAGTGGGATTTACAACCCAATAGTTAAAGTTTGACTATTTAGGCCAGCAAGCCGAATGTGTCAGTTAATATACAAACACATTTACGCAATTCAGCATAGTAGTTTGATAAGTTATGTTTATTCTCACAAAACAAATAACCACATAAGATATTCGAGGTTAATTTTATGAAAGAACTAGAGAGTGTACCAACGTCATGGAATGAGTCGATAGTTGTCCCTATCTTTAGGAAGGGTTCACGTCGTTCCTGTAACAACTATCGGGTGATAAATCTACTTCCGATTGCGTCCAAGCTATTGGCTTCGGTCATTCTTCGTAGGTTGTTCAAAACCCGAGAAAGATTGACTCGCGAGGAGCAGGCTGGTTTTCGTTCTGGTCAAAGATGTATTAACCATATCTTCACCCTCCGCCAAATGTTAGAACACCGCCATACTTATCGAAGGCCAACAATCGTAGTGCTTCTTGACATCAGAACTGCCTTCGATTCGTTGGATAGGACTGTCCTCTGGGATTGTCTATTGAAGAAGGGTGTGCCTGAGAAGTTTATTAACATCTTAAAGTCCCTATATACAAACACCTCAGGCAGAGTGAGGGCATACAACCACCTTTCTCCGTTGTCCCATTCGAACAGTGGGTTTAGGCAGGGTTGCCCAACCTCACGATTCCTCTTCAACTTTGCCATCGATGACATTCTGGGAGCAGCTCTGATGGATGTAAGTAATGGTGGTGTGGATCTGTTGTCTGGAGAAAGACTTATCGACCTTGAGTATGCGGATGATAATGTTTTACTCTGCGATAATGCCCAAGCCATGCAATCCGCACTTAATCAGTTGTCAGTCAATGTCCGTAGGCACGGTATGTGCTTTGCACCTTCGAAGTGCAAAGTACTTCTACGAGACTGGCAGGATTCCAATCCTGTACTCACCCTGGATGGTGAGCAGATAGAAGTAGTCGAGAAGTTCGTGTATCTAGGTAGCTGCATAAGTGCTGGTGGTGGCGTGAGTGATGAGATCAATGCACGTATAGTGAAAATCAGAGCGGCTTATGCCAATCTGGGCCATCTTTGGCGGCTTCGTGATGTTAGTCTGGCTGTGAAAGGTCGGATCTACAACGCGTCGGTGAGAGCAGTCTTGCTCTATGCTTGTGAAACCTGGTCTCTCCAAGTTGAGGACGTTAGACGACTCTCTGTGTTCGATCATCGTCGTCTCCGAAGGATTGCTGACATCCAATGACAACGCCATGTCAGTAATGCAGAGGTTCGGCATCGTGTGTTCGGGCGCAGAGATGATAAGGCAATCGATGTCACCATCTTGAAGCACCGACTTGGGTGGCTTGGACATGTTCTACGAATGTCGTCCCAGAGAATTCCACGTCGTGCATTATTTGCCGACTCTGGGACTGGTTGGAGAAAGCGGAGAGATGGTCAGTGTATGACATGGTGTCGTGGTATGAAAGCTGAAAAGGACTGGCTTCTGTTGGTCCTTCACGACTCCCTGGCTGGAATCTGAGAGATGGTGCTACACAGTGGCTAGGGACGTTATGAGATATGGCTCAGAATAAAAGCCAGTGACGACCCTGCTGTGACCTTCTTTTACTTTCTTCATAAAAAGTGGTTGTGTCTCCTTTACCTGAAAGATTTCTTCTGGTTGTACTTTCCCGTTTCCCCCGTTACCATTATTATTATTATACTACCTTACACCTATCTGTTCGTTATTGTTCTTTTTCTTTTACGCTCCTTACTCTGTTTTTTCTTGTTTTTAAATTCTCATTGTTTTGTGTGGTGCATATATATTTGGTGCCCTCTTGTACCAATATTTGTGTTCAAATAAATAAAGAAAACAGCTGAAAAACCATTGAAAACTAGAAAAACATTGGGTCGCTGTTTCGTCCTAACTGTAACTCAGTTTTTTTAAAATTATCATACTTTTTACGAAAACTAAATGCTCTGGGTTTGGTTTTACGTGAAATTATGGATGCGTAGTGTCAATAAAACGTGAATTAGATTGATTCAGACAGTCTCTGGTACTCCAGTTGATGTTAACCTATGATGAAACCTATTTTAACACAAAAAGAAAACCTATACAACCCCTTCAAACTTAAAAATAATCCCTTAATACTAATTAAAACAAGAACTTTGTAATAAAATACCGTAATAATAGAAATAAATTATGAGGACCTAAAAACAATACAGAAAACATAACTTCTATTATCCTGATTTTGTCCAAATTAAAACAAAAATATTGTTCAACTTTGAGTATATCCATATGACATTTGATACATTCAGGACCATGTATCTTATACGTTGCAGTCTATCTTGACCACCATCCCATACTGTAACAAATAATTCTATGGAAATTGAATGAAATGAGAATCTTATTACAGTGAAGAAGTAAATAATAAAGTGAAGAAAATAATTAACAACAGTTTAATGTTTTAGTTGTATTAGCACCAACAATTCGATGAATAATATCAATAAAACGTGGATCTCCCATAATATTTACATGTTCAGCCCCAGGTAACATGAAATATTTTATACCAGGCCAACGTTTACAGACTTCTAAACTACGTAGACTAACAGTTCCATCACCGTTTCCAGGAATCAATGTCGGCACTTGATCTGGAAATCCACTATGAAAGAAGTTGGGCGGTGAATAAATCATTTTGTCAGTGGTACTCAAATTTGATCCATGAATACAATAGATTTCATCAATATCACTTGGTTTTTCGAATGTATCAATTATAGATTTACTGTCCAACATCATCTGGAAGCCTAAGGATAAAAATGTATAAGTGTGCAAAAATAGTGTGATGATTTTAAGTAAAATAATTCTTTAAAAGTTTTTGTTGAGGATGTGAAATTCCCAAATAATACATTTAAGAAACCGGTTCTAGAATCCTCAAGTTGATTGAAAAGGAATTTTATTATTGACTTTCAGTGTTTTTGTTCTATTTCGATTTGTTCAATATGAAGTTAATTTGATGTATCCAAAATGTAACTTTATTGTCTTAAATAGCGTACTGTGATTTATATTCAGTGAAAACTATTCCGTTCATAAATTTCAAACATTTTGTTGAGACATAACTTTGCCTTTTTCTTCGAAACATAATTACAGTTCTCCAAGCCCCGTTTTGATTTGGAGATCGATTGAACGCATGCAGACCTGCCCAGATATTTAAAGAAGGCTAAATAATTTACTGAATCAACTTTACTGACTACTACGACAACTGTTAAAAAGGCTTCGCTATTAATAACATCTTCAGCTAAGATTTAATACAAATTAAAACAGGTGAAGAGGCGGATGAAAACTATTTCGTGACATATTATCTGGCACTAAGATTCTGTGACTTCTACTGGTTTTGGGATTTAGTCACTCATAAACAACATATGGCTAGCGAAAAGTGTACATCAGACTAAAATCCCACAATAAACGCCAGTGCAGAGACAAAAAAGTGACTACATGAAGAGCAAAGGAATGAAAAACACTGTATAAGTAATCGTTAAAAAACAAAACATAACACCAGAAAATACAGAATAAATGCATCAGCGCTAATGAGACGGATTCTGAGCTGCATCAATTAAGGTTTCTCAACACAGATCATGATTATTATCTTGAAAACTCACTCTAACAATCAACTTCTTCACATATTGTTCACATCAACAGTAATTGATATGGTTTTAATTTAGGTTATAATATTCACCTTTTTGGTGGTTGTAAATAACAGATTTCTTTGATGTCTTAATTTGGTGGATAACCAAACTACCACTCAGTGAAAGTCTACGAAGAGTGGAAGCAATGAAGGATAATTATTTGGAATAAACATCTTTATTATTTCCTTCGGTTCACTCAGTTTTAGCTTCACAACCACTTACTAAAAAGAAGCAGTACGTGACCAAACGACGTGGATAATAATAATATCCTAGAATAACAATACACAAGGGTAGAAAGCATTTTTGTATCTTGTCTACATAATGTATTCCAGATCCGTTGGGTGGATACCATCAGCAACAATTTACTGTCAGAGAACAAACCAACTTTCAGCTCATGATGAAATTATGAAAAGACATTGGAGGTAGATAGGAAATACATTGTGGAAATCCTCAAACTGCATCACGAGGCAAGCCCTAACTTGAAATCCTGAAGGCAAAGGGAAAAGAAGATCAAAGAAAATATTGCGACGAGAATTGGAGGCATACATCTAAAGAATGAGCAGTACTTGAAAACAGCTGGAAAGAAGAGCCCAGGATAGAGATGGTTGGATAATCCTAGTTGATGGCCTGTGATCTACGAGCAGCAACAGGCGCAAGAAGTAAAAATAAGGAGAATCTTTCAATAATACATCTAGTTGTTAAAGTAGTTGCAAATTACCTTAATACTCGATTTAGTATGTATTAAGATTGGTTCAACTTGATAATGATTTACATCACAGCTCAACATAAACTGAATCACTATTTGGAAGCACACAGCAGTTGATAACTGACTTGTCCTAATATACGGCATTTTAGCAGTACGCACAAATTAAAGGCGTTATACGCGAAGCTACTCAATTACTGATTTGAAATCTAATGACTTGGGTTTTCCAAAGTTAGTAAATTCCTAATAAAACAAAGTTAACAAGTTTAAATGAATAGACTGAATGTAGAATATTCATTTGCTCACCGATTGAATAATTGACATCATGGAAGAAACGTTCGTAGTCATGAGCAGAATAGTTTGTTGTTGGCGTTATAATAAGAGGTTCCTTTGGTGACCACAAACGAGAATCCGGGAGGAGAAAAGCAAGAGAAGGTAGCGTGCGCTGAACAGGGCGGAAACTAAGTGGACTGCGTAAAAACACACCAAAGTTATCTCCTACAAAAATAGCAGCACATCTAAACAACGTTTAAAAATGACAGGTTTATTGTAAAAAGTACTTAGAATTTATTGTATTTGTTTATTTTAACACATAGATATTGGTACAAGGAGGCACCAAATACATATGCGCCACACAAATCTCACTTGATATTTGTGAGGGCTGTGATACTGCCCGGGTGCCCAAACTGAAGCAGGTACTTACGTTACCTATATCAGTCAGTCAGTCAGTAACAACGTAGAACTTCGTACGTACGTGCATCAGTTCGAGTTGCCACACCACATTAGCACAGAGATGCAGTTGTCGATTCAAATCCCATAGTGGTAGAGGTAATAAGAGTATAAGCAGTAATCGGGAAGACTAGGGTTTGGAGATGCTATTTAAAGAGTATAATACAGTGAAATAAATTTGGAAAGAGGAAAAAAGGGACATGAAGGATTCAGAAGATTAGAATTTGGGAGAACACAGAGAGTGGATGCACCTGCGCCATTGCAGACGTGGTTCGCCAGAAAATATCAATTAGTTGCATGAGATTATCTATTAAAGATACATTATACTGACAGCTATAAATAACTCGGTGACTAAAATAAGAGCGTTTCCCATATAATGGGTGGATCTCTTACTCTCACTAATAAATCCTGGTAATAAGGCTGGTAAAACTCACCTGGCTGTTTGCTTCCAATGACCTTACCACTGATGGAATATTGGATAAGGCTTCACAGCGTGACTGTACTGTAATGCCTTTATTTCAAGTATAAAGATCTAATCCTCGGCAAATATCGGGATAACAAACTTGATATCTTTAAAGCATCATGTTACCTGATGCTTCAAGATATCAATATCATTCAATTACAAACTAAACCCAGGATATCAGGATCTGCTACAGCATACGCAGATTTGCTGGCAGTAACTACGAAGATTGCATACTCAAACAGCTGTGTCGGTTGATGCAACTCAAATAAGTAACATTCATGTGAGAAGTCTGGGAATTATATCATCACTTTAGTTACAAAACAACAGCAACAACAATAATATATTGAGACAGGAAAAGTAAATATGAGACTTTAGATGCCCTTCATAAAACTGATATCCGTGAAATACGTTAGTTTACAATCACAAAATTTAGAATCGCAGGCTAAAAACCTTAGTTCGGTTTGTGAAGTAATAAAATAAATGTATGAATGAGTAGTCTGACAATGAAGATCAGAAAAAAGACAGCAAATTGCGGACAAATGTGCAGTACAACTAGTTCTACTTCACCAGCAGTGCAAATTGGTGAGAACCACGTGGACTTTTAGTAGTTGTATAGAGATTTTATTAGCCATCAACTGGGTGTGATGAGTCTTTCAATAAAAGCGCAGTGGTCAGCAAAATTATTTACTTTGCTGTCTATGGTTAGTCTAGGTAATGGAGCGGATCAAATCTAAAGTAACATTTTGCATTTACAAGTAGAAATGGAAATACTTTTTTATTGTTACTTACTGTGCTAATAAGGCTATATGTTATCAGAATATTCAAACAATAACGTTATTTACCAACCGGGTTTATCAGTGATTCATTAGGCAAGTCAAGTATTGCCGGAAATTCATTTTATAAATAAGACTGGAAAAAATGAACGGCTCCGACAGGTAATATTTTACAAACCGATTTCGAATGCAATTCTATCAAGGTTCTGAAACAATCAGTGAGGTTCGAGTACTTTGTTGTTATTAATTTCAACGAAACACTCATAGGACAAGTTGGTTGACAAAAATGGTGAAAAATTTAAGTGATGGTTCCGCGCTAAGTAATGGTAAGCAGATATGTACATCCTGGATAATAATCCATCGTAGTCCGAGTTAGTGGTCTCTTTTTTATTATAAATGGAGTTGTATGCTAAGATTTCAAGTAAGACGAAAAAGCAATAAACGCTGACACATTTGAACAAATATAATCGAATAACATAACGTACCACTTGCTTCGATTTTAAGAGCCTTTACTGAACCACCAAGAGGTGCACTGAGTGAGACAAAGGTCTTGATGTATGTATTCTTCCAGCTTTTCTTCATTGACTTTAAGAAGTACATCCCGTATTTAGCCCCCAAACTATGGCCAAGCAAAACAACAGACCGGTTTCCACCATTTTGATAAGTCTCCTCAATCAGGTGCATAAGGTTGTCATTAAAGCCCTCGTTTTCATCTGGAGAGAAAGCTAACTTAAAAGCTTTAAACTAACTTGGAGCTTTACGGAAATCGAAGGGTGCACCGCGAATAGTCCAGTTGGATACAAAGAAAGGATCACGACGCAATGACTCAATCATCGGACCACAATATTCAGTTCTGCTATGTTTATAACTATCCAAATTTTCAATAGACCACGTTTCACCCCAACCTGGGAAATATACGTCTGCGCTATCAGGATCTCTGGACTTTCTTGTGACTGGATCATAAACTAAGCTGAGACCCAATAAATCAAACAGTTGTGAACCTTACCCGAAGTATTCATTTAGTTTTCCCGGTTCGAGAAAGTAACGTAAGTCTATCCATACTAAAAAAGGAGGTGACGTTGAGTTTTTTAGCTTGCTATACGCCTGACACCCTCCATCACCTGGGATTATTACAATTGGGTACTTTTCCGACTGGATATGAGCCCCAAAAGTAACAACGAAGAGGCAAATCTTGTACTAATAGTGAGAAAGCAGAGTGCTTACAATAAATGTCCAAGGTAAGTGACACATACGGTTATCATAACAGAAATATCACCTGATTTGCGCCGCGAACAACCTGAAGGACAATCAAAAGCGCTAACTACAAACCTGAGGGGTTGCAGAGTTCAATAAGAGATGTGTTTCAAGTAATTGAAGTCAATTTCACGTCATATTAGTGAATATGTGCTGAAAAGTGGGCCATAATTTTTACTGAACTACATGTTGAACAACTGAAGTCAGTGATTGGCATGAAACCCTTGACTGAAATTTCATCCTTATTTATATATAACTCTCTAACTAAAAAATAAGAAGATTCATAAAATACACAATTGACTTTCTGTGCATCGATGATGCTGTGGATAAATTGAAACTCCGGTATATAACGGCGGTCATTCATAAGAGTCATAACAATACAATCTTCATTGTCACCATATTTCAACGAAGTGAGGAATGGTTAATTAATTTGTTTCTGCAAAAATACCAAAGATATCTTCAGTGTTTTGCAACTCAGGACTCAAGGGTCTCACGATAGATGGACATTTCTTTATTAACAATCGATAACAACTTTTAGTTTGTTAAATATGCATAATGGCCTGACTGGTCTGTTCTGGGCAGTCCAAAATGGCTCCCATCTGTCTTCTGAAGGTGTCAGAAGCGTGTTCAGAGAAACGGTCTGGATTTGAAATTTCTGAATGTTCATCGTGATGTCATGTTTTTGGAGTCGTTTGCGAAAACGGTCCAGACCCTGGAGTTGAAATTCTCTATCCTAACTCGCCACCAAGCAGTCACCAAAATATACATTCAAGAGGTTGAGAACCCTGGCTACAACATCGATGGATCCCTGAAACACTTGTGTATTGCTTTTTAATCCGAATGCTATGTGCAAAAGCTTTGTAGAGCCTGATGTGTGGACAGCAGATTTCGTAATGTCACCTGCAGTCATAGTAACTTGGTCATACTCTTCGACAAGATCGGTTTTCGACAAATCGACTGCGAGTTTTAGGGTAGGTGTCAGGTGATGGGTTTTGTAGCATCACGTAGCGATCGCAAGCTATTTTCGTATTAAGTCGCTGATAATCACTGGTTAGACACCAACCATCGGTCATGTTTAGGGACCATGAGCTTGCAGTCGAATTCGTTTTCGGCTAACTTCAGCTTATCGGGAGCTAGTCGGCGAGTTTTCGAAAATACGGGTTATCCTGTAGTCGTAATATGGTGTGTAATATTGCTGGCAACACAGCAATTTCAATCTTGTTGTATGAAGTTCACGGTACTTGTCATGTATCTGTCGATCGACTGTATGTTTAATCATGTCTGGGCATAACCTACAACGCAAACAGATTATTTAGTATTTCCGCTTACTAATCTTCATTCGCTCGAGTTGGTGAGCAGAGTATGGTGTTGTTACACGTCTGTATCAACGACTAGAATAGAAACATCTGTCTTAATGAAAATCCGGTAAAGAGGTTGGCGTAAATGATAGTTAAAATAATAATATATCTTACCGTGTGTAGTGGTCAGTTTACCATTTGCTTCCTGTAAGTTGAAGGCCGGATCTCGTAGTCGGTCGTGAGAGAAAGTTCGTCACCACATCAGTGATGTGTGACAGATGGTTTTTTCCACCTACCTCAACTGCTGTTAACACACGCCTACGGGGAAATTCCCCGAAAATTTTGTCTTGATAAAAGGTTTGGGACTGGGAATACTTTAGGGTTTATTGCAATTTATAGAAGACTTAGCGTTCTTGTTGAGGTACAACGCCAATCGGAATTATCTGTTTCTCGTGATCTAGAGGCAAATCTTTTTCATGATGGGTTCCGAGGGGTTAAAGTGGTTCTGCGATGATGATGAGTATTTGGATAATGAGTGAGAGTATGACAGAAATCTGTAAAGTCTCTTGTGTCGTTTGAGGATTTTTACTGACAGAATAAACTTCATTGATTGGATTTCGGGTGATCTTCAGAGTCCAATCAACAGACTCAGCCAATTTATCTACGGCGTCATCTTGGGATGACGCAAGTACATTATACACCTGCTGGGAGGGCTTAGATAAGGAGAGTTATCTAAAGAGGTCTTCATCGAAAATCCGTTGATCATTAACCCCATAGACACGTGGTAACGTTTCTTTTGCCAAGCTATGTCGTAACTTTGTGTTGTGGAACAGCAAGTTCAACCTCTGGTGATCTCGGATACCTAATTCTTACAATCAGTTGAATTTTTGAAGTTGCTATGGGCTGAATTGATAATAGTGACTTCTCAGGACTCGTTTGATAGGGAACTTAACATTTTAATGATCCTACACGCAATCGGAGTTTGACAACACCCTTGACAGTAACACTTGTATGCCGACACAGAGAAATCAGAAGTCAAAAGTGAGAGGGGACGAAGTTTGCTACCCACTGTTTTACGAAGGTGCCGGTCAGTTTCAGTAGTAATGTCTTTGATAAGCAGTGCTTTCGCCCATCATGTGAAACGGCACGATTGGACGATCGCTGTCTGTAGATGTGTTGCATTGTAAGGTTTCCTTACCTGTTTCCATCTGTTTAATACGCAGTTTTAGGGTTGAATAAGATATGTCGTGCTGGAGATCAGCGTCTTCTTGAAGCTGTTAGAGTTCAAGAAAGTCGATACCTTGGAAACCGTCCAAGGACGTCATACGAGACAAGGCGTACGCAACTACGTCATTTACCCCAGAAATGTGTTCTATATCTGAAGTAAACGGCGAAATTTATTCCAGTTGTCGAGACTCTCGTGGGTAGTACTTAACTGAAGACGAGCTAAGAGAGAAAGTGAGAGGTTTATGGTTGTTGAACATAATGAATCCTCTGTCTCCCAAACGGTGTTGAAAGTGCCGTACAGCAAAATACATGGCTAGGAGTTCACTATCGAAAGTACTTTGCCGCGTTTCGGCGTCTTGCAACCGTCTCGAGTAGAATGCTTAAGGTTGCCAGGTGTTATCTACAAATTGTTTTAACACTCCACCGATTGCCGAGTACAGTGCGTCTGTTGCAATACTAGTGGGTTTGTAGAACTATGGTCTACTATGATATTAGTACTGCTCTAATAATAGACCTAATCCTAAATTTGTAGATTTGTCATGATATAACTGCCTAATCTATAAGATCTTACGTGGAAGTCACACCATCGACTACACCAACTCACTGTATCGTATCAATTACCAATACATGATGTAGAACAAGGTTAGGCTAGAGAAAGAACAATATATTTAATATGAATAGAAGATATAAAGTAACATTCAGATGGACCACGCCTGCATGGCCGAGCCATGCCATCCGATCAACTCCAGTCCATTCAATTCATTGTTCGCGCCTTCTCCATCGTTAGGTATTTATCCGCGTTAAATATTGAATATCTATTTTCTGAGTAGTCTCGCGTTCAGCTTTGTGGATTGTGCGGTTATTGTCCAATGCCACTACACTACTCTCCCACCAGAATCAACGTGATGTTGGTTCGATACCGAATTGGATGGGATTGTCGTGCGCCGAAGGTTACCAAGACTAGGAGGAATCCCCCGGGGTAATGATAAGCTGAAAGGTAAATCAAAAAGAATGCAGCAGCATCTGGTCGGGAAATACATGTAATAATTTTTAAAATATCTGCCTTCATGCTTAACACGCTTAAAATGAAAATGTGGGTGAAGATTATTTGAGCTATAAAAAATGGGATTACAATAATAATAATAAAGTGATGCGTGTTAATAGCCGTTGGTTAGTAACTTGACGTATAGGTAGTAAGTATTTTGTGTTTAGAAATATTAAAAGCAATTAATATTGTAGAAATGTTGATATTGGTATTAGTTTTGGTTTAAATTATAAAATCAAATAACGTTCATGCTAATAAGTTGTCCATGAGTTGATTTTCAATTGCATTTGTATTAGTAGGCTAACTGAAAGAACAAAAGTATTACCGTGGAGAAGAATTCCAACTAGTGTTCCAGTTAGTTTGATACGGTTTATTTAGTTACGGGGAGATTTTCTCAACCTCATTTTTATTTGACCGTGATAGAATTTAGTAATACTACTAATACACATGAATGGTTATCAAAACAAAATTTAAATACGTAAGTGATAATTATGAGTTTAGGACAGATAGCTAAGAACAAATCGTTAAACATGAGTGTATTCGTAAGAGACGTGCTCTAGACTCAATGTTCTGAGTTGCCATAGTCTATTTATACATATTTATACCTGACGGCTGATGACGCATACAAGTTAGTTGCAAGTATGCAGTTTATCATAAGGCGGAATACGATTTAATTGAGATATAGTGGTTATAAGTTATTGAAATCAGCTTATGTGTCACATTACTAGGTGATGTGGTGCTGCAAGATGTATTTGGCTAAATAAGTTTTTACAAGATGATTAATAGTGAGTGATGCTCATGTGATTATCAGGGAGAACATAAGTTGTAACCAAGGGGAGTACACTCCCAACTCATGTCTATGATAATGGCTTGAACCTTAGTCAGTGTTGGGGTAAATTCGACATTGATGTTTTCAGTTTGCAGGAGATTTGCTCGACTGCTTATACTGATTATTTGCATGCATGATTGTGTCGCTAAACCATCAATTAGACTGACAAGGTTTTGAGATATTTACTGAATGAGCAACTGATAGAGAAACATACTGTAATCATCTGTAGTGAATGAAGATAAAAGAAAAACAACACTAGTGATAATTATAAGTCAATTTGCTGACCGATTTTGTTAATAGTTTCATTAATTTTATCAATCATATTACGTGATTGTCAAGTTATGACAATGCTTTATGACGATATCCTGAAACTATTAAATTTAACTAGTTATAGTGTTGATTGAGGATTAGTCAGTGGAAAAATAGGTATTGTTGCTTTAGGTGATTCGAAATCATCAGAAATTTATAACGTTAAAGAATCCGAGACGCCTAATTTAATTATAAATTTCAATTCAGAAATATTCGTTTAGTGTTAATTCTAGTAGGCTACGGAGTTTTGATTTTAAACGTTTATTTAGCCAACAGCTACCTGGGGATT